CTGAAAGTCTGTTCCCTATGCCTAGTGCATCTATAGGAAGCGTGTGGCTCTCAGCCCGTCTTCTTCTCCTGGTGCAGCTCCTCATAGGGAATTGTGCTCCACTGAAAAGCACATCTAACATGTATCATTGGTGATACTATGGGCTCTCATGACAATGGGAAAGACATTCTACCACTACTTTGATTCAAGTCATGAAAAACAGCCTACGGTTTGCTCATGCTGCCTACACAGTCCAGTCCCTCTCTCAAGCATACCACTAAGTGGCAGTGCCAATCTGCTCTGGATCACATTAGCCCTTAGGCTGTCACTTTCTCCATCTTTTCTCTGGTGAGAATATCATAACTGAGCGATGTCTACTTCCTACAGCTATTTAGGTTCTAAACATAGAGGAACAGAGGTTCTAAACATTCAGTTTTCATCTCAGTTAGACTCTACATTTCATCCTTTGCTATTCCCACGGGATCTACTGATATGGAACCATCTCTGACTTGCACCTGTAAGATAAATCATTTTTAGGAATTCTGTGCATAGGTACAACCACAACTGAGGCAATTGTCATATATTCTTCAAATATAACCTCTGTTCAAAAGTTGTCTAATCCACTAGAAAACACAAGATACCATTTTTTGTCATCTTTAATCTTAACGCAGAACATGTTAATCGCAATTAATGAAACTATGTCACCAAGATAAAGGAGTGTACTCTCCCCGCTCCACCCCAGCATCATGATGCTGTGATTATGAATGTATTAATGTAGCCCACATGTATGAGTTCTAGACTCCCAACCCAGCTGACTCAGTTGGCTTTCTCCTGGTCTGATAGTTCTACTGTGTAACTCTGTCTTTCTGAGTTACAGAAAGAGGACTGTGCCCTCTATCTTTGCTGAGTCAAGTATATCCCAACAAGTATTTAGTTTTGGACCCTAAAAAAATTAAATCTGCAACTCATACTTTTCCCTCAAACCAACTCTTCAAGGGAATCACTTGGCTGGCAGTATGTTGCTTTTACCTGGGGGTGATCCTTTACCCTGGTGAATTTAGTATTCTGTCCACGTAGAATTACAGTAGCTGTGAGTAGTTTTATTGCTAAATGTATGTGTGCAAGTGGTACTTACTCCACGGTGCCCCTCTGGCTTTGTTCATCATTGGTCTTGCTTCCTTTATAAAGTAACAGACTTACACCCACTTGGTTTTCAGGGCTAGTTATTTAAGCCATGAGTAATTTCCTTTCAGACCAGTTCATCCAGTTGCAAAAGGAGCTAAAAGTGACCAGGGGATAGTTAAAGCTTCCAATTAAATGAAATAATTTTTATTTTCACTGGGAAAAAATTCTTTTTTAATAGCAAACTGCAGCCCATGGACTAAATTTATACTGTCACCTGTTTTTCTGCAAGTGAAAATTTTATTGGAATATAATCTTATTTATTTTCATGCTGTGTATGGCTGTTTTTGTGAAATAGGAGTAGAGGGGTTGTGACAGAGACTCTTTGCCGTGTGACTTCTATTTGAGTGGGTCAAGGAGAAATTGCAATGTTGAGGGAAATTAAAACACAGTGTTGGTGTCTCTATTACTCTGTCAACTCGTATCCTATAAAATAGGAAAGTATTTTCATACCACATTATACCTAAGAAAGGGATATATGAGTTTTTTTTTTGCTCTATGTGTCACCAGGTACCAGGTCATATGGTTTGTATATGTTACACAGGCCTCCTTCCCAATTTGAGGGAGAAAGCTTTGATTTTTAATCTACATATTACCAAATAGCCAATTAATGTTAATTTGTGTTTCCATCTTTTCAAGTAGTGGTTGGATATGGCCCAGAAGAAATATCAGTCAACATATCATGCTGGTACATATGTTGAATAGATTTAACTGAACATAAAATTATAAAATGTTTAGGGGATCAGATTTAGAATAGTCTGAAAACAAGGTAGAAGTCTCAAGGAAGCTATAGAGTCTTTACAACATTTTTTTAAAAATGGCAGCTATAGTTTGGATAGTTTCTTTTGTATTTAAAAAAAGCCTTAAAGTATCCATTGATTTTAATGTATGGTCTCTCTCCACAGATACATACGTGTACATGTATATAATATAGCCTCCAAAATCATTTCAACTGTATTTATCAGCATCTGGAAGCAGTATTTGCAAAACTACGTTTAGTTCTTAGTTTCAAAGATTTTTTTTGAAAGAAATCTTTCATAAAGTTGAAGCAGACTGTGACTACTTACTAGAAAAGCATAGTTTTTTGATATAATATAATGTCTAACTTATATGTCTAACATTACTGAGTCAGATACTGGAAACTCTCAGTTGCAACTGGGAACTTTGAGAACAGAGAAAATTGTCACCAACAATATAAATGGATTACAAGCTGAATACATTATTGTACTTAGATTCTCTTTCCCTGTATTTCTCTATCCTTCCTTCTTTCCATCTTTTCTTCCTTCTTTCTTTTCTTCCACCTTCCTTTCCTTCCTTCTTCTTCATTCTTTCTAAAATATCAGAAGTCACATAACTAGCACATTTTCCAAAAGCTGGGCTTGATTGATCAATTAGAAGGATGAAAAATTATTGATCAGTAAAATGTTATTAAAATCTAACTCTATATGTGAAAAGCATGGGAACAACATATGGAAAAAGAAAGAGAAAAAGAAAGAAGAGAAAATATATCAGAAGAAAGACAGTACTAGCAAATGAGGTAGATGCTGATGGACTAGTGCTGAGAATAGTGGTGAGAAATACAGAGTGCAGAACTGTGATGTTCATAAAACACATCAGAATTCACAGACTTATTTATTAATTCAAATTGTACTTATTGAGTTAATATGTGTACGTGTCACTAGGAAAATCTTTGAAGATTCAGAAGTGCAAGAATGCTATCCTTGCCTCTGACCTTTGGGTACTTTGTGATGCTACGTCAGGACGACCAAAAGGCAATAGGTTAGCTTTCCATGGCTGGGACAAAATACGTAACACACGCAACATAAGTAGTATTGTGGCTATATTTTCAGAGATTTTAGCCTCTGGTTGGCTGGCTTCAAGGTGGCTCACCTAGGTTATGTCCCTAGTGAGCTGCCCCCAAGTGGGCCCCATCTCCTAACAGTACTTTCAGCTGTGAATTCATGGCTGAACTAATAAATTGATTAAGTTACCTAGCATTCTTATGGTCATCTTTCAAAGCCTCCACTTCCTAATATTGCTTCATTGAGGGTCAATCTCGCAATGCATGAGTTTTTGGGAGTCACTTAATGTTTACATCATGACAAATATAGATATATTTGTGATGTTTTTGTAATACCAATGTGCAGGTAAACAATATAGTGAGGGCACAAAAGAGGAGCTTGTCACTTTTCCTAGGAAAGAAGGGTGAGAAAGCTATAAAGCTTTATGGTGATGCCTGAATTTACCCTTAGAAGTTGTGTACTTCCAAAGTTTCTAATATGGCCCAGTTTGAACTTTCAAAATGATAATCAACTTGCCCACTAAAGGGCTAGTATTGATCATAATTATACTTGAGCTGCCTAACTTTTAGTCTTTAATACAACTTGTGTGAGCGCTGAGATTTAAATCAGTGACTGTTTACTCTGTGAATCCTTTCATTACTCTGGCTTTAAAGTGTTCTAATATGCATGAGCCTATACCTTGGTCTGTGGTTAGTCTGTGAACTAACTAACATTTACCTCTACTGTTCGGCTATAAGTTTTTCAATGTTCTTAAAGCCTTAGTCTAGTAAATTCTGGAGTTAAGTATTGAGTTAATAAGTTGTGTAATACAGAAATGTGGTAAGGCCCTTGTCACTCAAAGGTTTATCTTATGATTATCTGGCAAATGCAGTATTCATGTCTAGGTCTTTCTCTATTACACAGTTTTGAATTGGTGTCTAGGATATAGTCCAACCTAAAAATATTTTATCTAACTATCGAAAAATAAGCATAGGCAAGAATAGTGGAGGAGATGATTTTGAGTCTGAAAATATATTTTCAAAAAATATTGTCTATTGGGAAATAATTGGGGGACTTGTGAAATCATGCTAGCCTTCCATAAGTACTTGAGATGCATTGCTGAGGGAGAGTGAAAATCATTTACAGTGGTATCAAATTCATTTGGAAGGATTTCTTCAGTTGCTGTTTCAACTTAGGATGAAAATTCCCATACTCCTTTTGGATCTTGAAGTCTGTAGAGTACTTTAGGTTCTGGGTTACCTAGAGCTGTGATTATTCTGGTTGGTTGCATATTTGAATCTCCTAATCCTTGCCCTAGGCTTACTGAGTCAGAATTTCTGAGCCTAGGACCAGCATGTCTGTATTTATACAGAGTTCTCTAAGTAATTCGGTTGATGAGCTAGACTTGTGAGCCACTGATAAAGAACATGTTAATGTAAATAATGATTTCACTTTTGAAATATAAAGTTGCAAAATGAACATTTTCCTCCTCAAACTCATCCATAGTCAGTCGATATTGATGAGTAGGATAATATCCAAAGACCTGAGGTTTACATTTCTCTTGGCATTATAAGTTTTGTCTTGTCATCTAATCTTAATAGCTAACTCTAGATATCACCTTACCAACTCCGGTTTACTGTGTCCCATAATTTTTCTGTGGGTGGAGAGATGTGATTTTTTTTCTGGTAATTCAGAATGTAGGTCAGAATGTTTGTGAGAAGTAATCATTTTGCAAATTGGAAGGGTTGTAGCATATAAATCCAAGATATTGTTGTTGCTAATATCTCTAGCTACTAATTACTTGAGCACCAGCTCATCCATTAAGCTTGAACTTTTAAATTAAGATTATGAGAAATTTGTAATCTTATCTGACTGGCCATCTTTTCTTTTTAGTTGTCTTTTAACATTTACATGTTCAAATGTATTGGGTACAAAATGGTAACAACTGAGTAAATATGTCATACATAAAGATTAACCTTCTCTAGATCATTCTTCAGTTCTTTGGGAAGGATTGTGGGGGCAATAACAGACAATTCAAACATGCAGGTTTGAAGCACTTTTAATTTAATGAAAGGAGACTCCAAGACTTACAAAATAAAGTGCCTTTTCAGATGCATTTTGGATAACAGATGTTTAAAAATTCTGTCGTAAGATAAAGGAAGTAAGGAATAATTGAATTTTTGAAAAGTTTTATATTAACCAAAAATGCTTAAAGATTATAATTTAGGGATTTAAAATAAAAGCAGAAGTTTCCCAACTAAGAGGAAGAGATTATTCCTTCCCAAGCCAATAGCTTGATAAAGCAACCCAAATAAATGTATTAAATATTCAGAAAACTTCCTGAAAATACAAATAATCCTGATAGCCAAAAATCAGAAATCACATCATAGATTAAAATAAAGTCACTAGAAATTAAAATTGGTTGTAAAATTAGCACTGGATTCATTAAAATGTTTAGAAACGTTATTTTTTAAGATGTTAGAACTTGTATAACACTGAGAGACACTTGAATGAAGAAGTATGGCTAATTATTAGCCATAATAAATAATTTTTCTAAAGTCTTTCCAAAAACACACTAGGGCTATTACATTGTTTCTAAAATTTATAATTCACTTTTTATGCTTTGATTTTATAACTTGAACAACTACATCTAAGATAACAATATGTAATTTATCAACTAGTAATTTCTTACTATTATTTCTTTTTAAATTCTGTATTATTTCTACCCTTTTTTCTGTTTTGTTTTTTTCTCTAAAAAAAAAGTTACAATGCAATTCCTTATAGTGAAATCCTTGCATATAAGAGATCTCTAAAATTGTGGCCGACAGAAATTATTCCAGACATGTATTACTATGCAAAGAAATACAAGCAAAACTATTGACATCAAATTGAACCAGAATGACATTAATTCCATGTGACAATAATCTATTTTAAAAATGAAGCATTATCTGTAGTTTTATTATTTTGAAAGTATGAGGAGTTTCAAAAGCAAGATGTTAAAATGATAGTTCAGACTGATGTACCACATTAATCTGTTCATTTAATATGAATCAATTAAAAAACAGAGATGCTAAGATGATGACTATTGGAGAAGAAATTCTTATTAGCTGTTCATGTATTCAAACATACTAATACACTTTAATATGTCATATTTTATTTCCCTTGTGCCTATGAGTATAGAGATATTATTAGTTAAGTAATTCTTATTTAACTAATAAGAGGTGGTTGTTAAATACATTCTTTTTCTACGGATTTAAACAACCTGCTATTACTGAATATTTTTTCAAGAACTAGGTTTTAAAACTTGGAATTTCCTCATGACATTTCTCATAACTTTACTTCCTGTTACTTACTTTCATTGTTGCAAACCTTCATATTTTAGAGCTCTTGAACACAAGACTATACAATATTGGTATCAGAATTCTTTAGCTGATAGAGATTGTGATGTGATTATCTAGAGCAGAGCCCAAGATACTCGGATGGAGAGATAGAGCTGCTGGTTTGCACAGTAGGAAAAGTGGACTATTTACCTTAATTCTAGTGGATGACAGTTGTACCATTTTTGTGACCTAGAAAAAAGAAAAATAAAACAAGCCCTTTAACATGGAAGACCATTCAGAAACATTTTCTATGAACGATGGGAGGACCAGACTCATCATACTCCTGCTTACTGATCCACATCTGCTGGAAAGTGGACAGGCTGGCCAGAATGGAGCCCCCAATCCAAACAGAATATTTCCGCTCTGGGGGAGCTATGATCTTGATTTTCATGGTGCTTGGTGCCAGGGCTACGATTTCTTTCTGCATCCTGTCAGCAATGCCTGGATACATGGTGCTGCCTCCAGACAGCACAGTGTTGGCATATAAATCCTTACGAATATCCACATCACACTTCATGATAGAGTTGAAGGTTGTCTCATGGATTCCACTGGATTCAATGCCCAGAAAGGAAGGCTGGAAAATGGCTTCAGGACATCGAAAGCGTTCATTCCCAATAGTGATAACCTGCCCATCAGGAAGCTCATAGCTTCTTTCCAGGGAAGAGGATGCAGCTGCACCAGTCATCTCCTGCTCAAAGTCCAGAGCCACATAGCACAGCTTCTCTTTGACGTCCCGCACAATTTCCCTCTCAGCTGTAGTGGTGAAGTTATAACCTCGCTCTGTCAAGATCTTCATGAGATAATCAGTCAGGTCTCTGCCTGCCAGATCCAAACGTAGAATGGCATGGGGCAGGGCATAACCTTCATAGATGGGCACAGTGTGAGTGACTCCATCCCCAGAGTCCATCACAATTCCTGTGGTCCGTCCTGAAGCGTAAAGGGATAGCACAGCTTGGATAGCCACATACATAGCAGGTGTGTTGAAGGCCTCGAACATGATCTGAGTCATCTTTTCCCGGTTGATCTTTGGGTTGAGAGGTGCCTCAGTGAGAAGAATAGGATGCTCATCTGGGGCCACGCGGAGCTCATTGTAGAAGGTGTGGTACCAGATCTTCTCCATATCATCCCAGTTGGTGACTACTCCATGCTCAATGGGATATTTTAGGGTCAGGATGCCTCTCTTGCTCTGGGCCTCATCTCCCACATAGCAGTCTTTTTGGCCCATACCTACCATCACCCCCTGGTGCCGAGGACGCCCTACCATGGAAGGGAACACAGCCCGTGGGGCATCGTCACCCCCAAAGCCTGCCTTACACATCCCTGACCCGTTATCCACTACCAAGGCAGACAGCTCATCATCTATCATGGTGCCGGCTGGACCCTTCCAGACTGGTAAGTAGAACTTAAATATAGGAAATTACTAATCCTATTATATGCAAAAAACTGAGTGAATAAATCTAAAGTCCTCCAGATCTGCCTTCAGAGAAGAGCCTGTAGTGTGATCACAACTATTTAAAGGAATGCATTGACTCCTCCCATCTCCTGTCCCACCAGTTACCAGCATTTTTGCACTTTTAAAGCATTAATTATGACTATGGTTACAGAATTTATTAGTAGTCCTTCCTTTTATAAAGAAGGAAAATTAGCAGTCAAGTGGCGAAGTACCAGGTTACTGTAATTAGACAACCCACACAGGGCTGTCAGCCTACTTGGCGAGGTTTCTAGATAACTATGTGATTCAATGGGGGATATAAAAACTAGATGAAAGAGAGCTCATAGTGGGTATGGTAACACTGTCAGAGGGACCTCGCCTTCCTTAATTTGCCTTCTCGGTTTGTTCTCTCTGCACTAACTCTAACTTTTTAGTCTTAATATACCGTTTTAATGAAAGATTTGAGTTTGCAAGTTTTACTTTTTCAAGATATTTTCCTTATCAGGTTCCTAATTTTATCGGATGTCATTATGATAGAAGTTATTTCAATTATTAAAAATAAGGAGTTGCAAGGGTAGCTTGATAGCTGCAGTTATAATAAACTTTTACCATGCAAAATACAGATACTTAATAGACTTCTAATCTGTCAGAGACCAAGTAAAAGCAACAAAATGATCAATGAAGTAATTTATTATAGATCTTTCTTTTCTGATGTAAGTTTATAATAACCTAATTTTATTAAGCAGTTCTTATGCCTAATATTGTTGACAGAGCTAGGATCTATTTGGTCCATGTTGATTACACAGAGGTTTCAGTCTCAACTTTCCTGCTTAATTTATTAATTAAAATGCAATTTATAAAACTCAAGTTATGCAATAATCAACAAGATTTAACGTTAAGATAAAATTTAAAGATATATATTTGAACTCATTATTAAAACATTTTGGTCTTCAAGATGTATATACTGTGCTATATTGTAACATCAAAACTTCTGGCAAATATTAAAAGCTGCACAACTGTCATGGTATTATCTTTTCCCATTTTAAGATGCATTATACCTTAAATATCTTTGTGTGTTTTTTTTGGGGGGGGCGGGGGGGGCCAGACAGGCACTTGTGACTCTGAGCTAAACTCTCACCCCAAGACACATTATACCTTCATCACTTTAGAGGAATAGTTTGTTTGAATTTTATTTTATTTTATTTTATTTTATTTTATTTTATTTTATTTTTTTTTGTCTTTTTCATTTTTATCGGTACCGGGGATCGAACTCACGACCGCCTGCTTGCAAGGCAGGTGCTTATGCCGCTGAGCTAAACCCCCAGCCCCAATTGAATTTTATTTTTAATACAGACATATAGGCAACCTAGTAAGATGCGCATTAAGAGAAAATGTAGGACATTAGCAGCAGAAAACAATTAAGAAAACTCTTTACTTCTGTTCCCATATGTTTGGTGAATAAAATATGACCCGTTGGCTCTTTTTTTTTGGATCCGTTGGCTCTTCTAAAGCACAGTGATTTTTCATCTGCACCCTGAGTTCTCCAAAATCATCTTTATTTGGTCATTCATTCACTTATTCAGTCACTCACTCAGCAAAGCTCATTTTGTAAGTTGTAGCAGTATCCCTCATACTGAGCAGACACATTCTCCAGTTCAAAGCCAGGAGAAACAGCCTGTGTCTTTGCTCAGTGACCCTCTTGGAGAGCTATGATGACACTGTGCTGATTGTCCAGCCCCCTTTTTTGTCTGGTGCTGGATACAGAATTATTTTTCTCTGGGTCTATCCAGTGCTATAATGTGTCTTCAAAAGTTTCATGTTGAAAATCAGTCATGGCAGAACATGTGTTTCAAAGCAACATCCACGGTTTTTCTTGAGATTCCACTAGAGCTAACCTTTCCTTTAGTATTTTCTGTAAGTGAGTAATTCTTCTTTTAAAATTGTTAAAATGTTGACCCTTTAACCTGAATGGTTTTGTGAGCTTTTTTTTTTCATGTACAACCCATCTTTTGATTAAAACAATATTTCATTGCAATAGGATGGTACTTGGGGCATATCTTTACAAAAGCCCTGTAATGAGCTACACATCTACTTCAAAATGGAAAATAAAATACACATTACATTATATTACTTATGAATGTTTCAGTCTGGACTATAAAACAGAACCATATCAGTGGAAATGTCAGTGGTGTGCCTCTGTGGTACTAGGTACTAGTGGAGCTTCATGAGAGCTGCCTGAGAATTGTTTTTGAACCAAGGGATGTTTCATACCAAGCTCATGTAGTATCACTGATGCTTTGAGAGGGTGGTAGATGTGATGTTTTGGTGAATGATTTGCTAACTTTTCTTTTAGTTTTCATATTCCAAAGAAACTTTCATCATTTATATAATCTTGCAATAAGTTTATGTTTTTTAACTCCCCCAAATACAACAGATTATATCATAATTCTGCAGCATTTTAAAGTATCATCTCTTGGGTGGTTAAGTTTTTTAAAAAGTAGTAAGAATTTGTGTGAGGGAAACATAGGAAGAGAGTATACAAAGGCTGGAGTGGGGCAGAAAGTTCTGTTCCTGGAGGTACCTGGTTTCATAACTCATGAGAATTTGTAGAGGTTTAGTATACCTAAAACTATGTAAATCCTTATAATTCACTTCTGAAAGGTCAGAATTTTACTTTCTTTTGCAGTTTGCCTACTTTAACTACCACATGAATATCCAAAACTACAATAAGGTACAGATCTGAGTGTTATATGAACACAATGCAAGGAAGTAACTTGAAAGCAGTGCCACTGTAAATTGAAAATAATTGCCTTTGCAGAGTGACATTAGACTTGTTGGTTCAACCCACAAACATTTAGTAAGCTTCTCCTATGTGCCAGCATAGGTAATATTTTGATCAATGAAATTCAAACTTTGTTTTTGAAGACTTTATTGTCTTATGGATGAAATCCACCTCCTTCCAGGGTAACAGGTGACCACTGGATACTGATGCAGAGAAACAGCTTGTGTTCTGATAAGACATTGCCATTGTTTATCATTTGTAAAAAATTTTAATATCACAATATAATGGACAAAGAAATGGAACATAGACATGAAGGAGGAGGAAGGTGTGCCTGGCTCTGGTGTCAGGGTAAAGGGCAAGGGATGGCCAAAGGGAGATGATTCCTGGGCTGAATTCCAGTGGGTCAACAGAGGATTGCCCGTGGAGGCAGTATTGCTGGCATAGAGTCAGAGAATCAATTGAGTATTTGGAACTAGGTCTCTATATAAGAACTAACAAGGGCTTAGAGTCCTAGCATGAGTTTGGATCTTATCAGGCATGAGGAAGGGAGAAGAATGCCAAGATCCCGTGTTACAGACCTTTAACTTCTGAAAGCCTGTCTCTCACTACTGATTTAGAGCCCTGAAGCCAGCTGTTCTCCTCCTTGGTCCTCACTGAGTTCCTTTGCGCTCTGCCTTTGTATCCTTAGTGGGTTTTGCACATGTTTAGCTCTTCCCATATGTTAACTGTTTGGTGAGTCTGCTTCAATTGCATTCTGCTGTATTGGCTTTTAGTGTAATGTGTTTAATGATAGATAAAGAGATGGGTAACTAGTGTAATTTTTAAAAATTACACACTTGTTCATCAACAGATATAGACGTCAATTTTAAAAGTTAAAAATTTCATTTATTGGCAGTTTGTACTATGTAATGTTTATATTTCACAATGGTAAAATTATATCAAGATGTCTTGTGAACTAAAAATATTCACTCTGGAGAAATCTCTAATATATAGCTTTAATTTTTTTTACAAATGATAAATCCATTAATCACTGATAAAGTTTATAGTGATTTTCCGATTTATTTCAATTATGTAGATTTTTGTAAAATAATAGTATAAAAAATGTAAAAATATAGCAAGTTTTCTCTTAAATAAAACATGACTCACTTATTTACTGAGGCAGGCAGGACAAGAGGGAGGAACAAGTGGTTTTAGTGAGGTACAACTTGCTCAGTTTTAGGATGTGCTTGGGAGGAAAATCTGAGCACAAGAATCATTTACGTAGTGAGCTGACCATAACTCCCAGCCTCAGCCTGTGCTAGGGCCAGAGGAGCTCTCCTGTTTTAAAAAAGCTAGAATGGATTTTATGGCAGTACTTTCTTACTATAACTTTAGAAATGGCATAGAGCAGCTTTTGGTCATTTCAATTGACTTGTAAACGAAGTTGTTAAGGAGAGGAATAGATTTCTCCTGTGCCGAAGATTAGTCTTCAATGGTACCTTGCTTTTTAAAATTTTTTTTAAATTTTTATTTATTATAAAGAGATTAAGACATGACAGAGCAGATCAGAACAGAACAATGTAAGCAAAACAGTATTTCACCATAAGACAACCCATAATTAACAGTAACTACCGCGATGTCTCTTTCTTTGAAAAATTGAGTATAACTTCATATACAATAGTATCAAACATAACAAAATAGTATAAAAAACATTCAAGAGAATGAGAGTATTACAGGGTTTTCAGAACCAAATAACAGAAAACAAACAATGGCTACTATATTATCTCATCTTCAATAGGAAATTTGTTTATACTTTCACATGTAATATAATCCAATAAGGTACAACATGATAGAGCCAATGGAAACAGAAGAGCAAGAGCATGGTAGGACTTCAGAATAAGATGATGTTTACCAGTACTGGCTATTATAATGACTTGTTTCCCTCAAATTAGCTGTTCACATCATCACAGATAATAAAATCAAAAAACCAGGACAGACACATTACAACTGCGATCATTAAAAGGCTTCAAAACAATGTAATAGGGAATCATGATTACCCTAAACTCTTATGTACTCTTACTATTTCTTACACTAGGGAGACTATATGGTATTTATACATGTGAATTTGATTTATTTCGTTTATGAGTATGGTCTCAAGTTGTGCCCATTTATTAGTAAATATCTCAATGTGATCATTCTTTATAGCTGAGTAGCACTCCATTGTATAAAAATACCACATCTTTTTTATCCATTCCTCAGTTGATGGACACTTAG